TGGGCTTTCGAGGCTGTCTGGGGGGCAACCCACCACCCAATATGTCTGGCAGTGGACATTTGTAACTACAAGAGTTATGCTGAACATTTTGGCAAATATTTTATTTGTTATCTCACAGCTGTTTAGACAAATTTGGGGAGTGGGCCTTCGAGGCTGTCTGGCGGGGCCAACCCACCACCCAATATGTCTGGCAGTGGACATTTGTAACTACAAGAGTTATGCTGAACATTTTGGCAAATATTTTATTTGGTTATCTCACAGCTGATCTAGCTGATTTTCTCGCATCTTTCACGTGCCCATCCTAACCACGCCCACCAGCGTCTGCCCGGCAGACGTTCATTTTCGTATAGTCGTACGCATGTAGAACATCACTATGTGCATTAAAATTGGTTTGCTTTCCAGCTAGGCTCGACCCCTGGGCTCCCGGTCTATAGCCATGACGACCCGCACGCCTGGAAAAAGCAACTTTGCGGATTGAATCCGCAAAAGTCAGGAAATCAGAGCGCATTATCTCATTAAATATAATTGCAAAAACTGTCATCATCCACTATTAGTTTCATTACTCGCAGTAGGTATTCGGTTGAAATTCTATTATTAACAAGTTATTAATTTAAAAATGCTCGCTGCGTGAAGCTATAAGGCAGTGCGGAATAAGTATCAACGCATATAGAAAGGGAGTCAAATATCTTACCCTGTCAAAGCAATTTTCTCAGTACTGCTTTCGCTATTACTAAAATCCTAGTCATTCCACTGTAACAGCATACAATAAGGCCAATGTCTATATACAATAAAATCGCGGTAGCTGCATGCGGGGGAACTTTTTTCCTTGCCACTTTTCCTTAACAAGTTCTATTGATCACGTATAGGACAAAAAATTTTTCGGCCTTGTATAAAGTCGCTACCGCAAAATGTCTGTCTACATGAGACTGTAGTTTAGTGGACATCAGTAGCACCAGTACAGTAGCTGCTGTTTTAATTTAAAATTTTTTAGGCTCATTTGTATTAGTGGGAAAAGAAATTTGGAAGGTTGAGGTTTGGGGTTATGGTTAGGGCTAAGATCAGTGTAAGGAAAGGACAAGGGTCAGTTTCACAAACATAACTATTCCATTATTAAAACATTATTATAAATATCACATTAAAATAACTGGTCTTTGATAGAGAAAACAACAAATAAGATCACTTACACTGTATTGCATCTGTCAGATTGTAATGATTTTGCAAATTGGTTCAGCATAAGACTTACAATGAGCATTAATTTATAAGGACAAGAGAATATGATGGCAAATATAATTATAGTATTAAATAAATTAGTACATGCACCCTGTGCGAAATTATATGTTACATTGACTGTATACATAAATGTTTGTCTTTGATCAGATATGCTGTGCAATAATTGTGATACGACTCTTAGTTTCAACTGATTAAGCAAAGATGACTACATCTTCTTAATCTGTCAGCAAAAGATGACTGCATCTTTCTGACACAAGAGTGTCCACTGAAAGAATTCTCACAATTTTTTACTGTACAACAGCAATATATTTTTTATGTCTTGAACAGTAGTTGATGGTTAAAATTATAATATATATATTGGAGTTTTCTAGGTACTTTTTATTTAGATATAATTTGCTGTGTAATAATCATCAGAAAACTTTCAGCTTCAACTGATTAAGCAAAGATGACTACATCTTCTTAATCTGTCAGCAAAAGATGACTGCATCTTTCTGACACAAGAGTGTCCACTAAAGGAATTCTCACAATTTCTATACTGTACAACAGCAATATATTTTTTATGTCTTGAACAGTAGTTGATGGTAAAATTATAATATATATATTGGAGTTTTCTAGGTACTTTTTATTTAGATATAATTTGCTGTGTAATAATCATCAGAAAACTTTCAGCTTCAACTGATTAAGCAAAGATGACTACATCTTCTTAATCTGTCAGCAAAAGATGACTGCATCTTTCTGACACAAGAGTGTCCACTAAAAGAATTCTCACAATTTCTATACTGTACAACAGCAATATATTTTTTATGTCTTGAACAGTACTTGATGGTAAAATTATAATATATATATTGGAGTTTCAAGCTACTCTCATTTAGATATAACTTGCTGTGTAATAACCATCAGAAAACTTTTAGTTTCAACTGAATAAGCAAAGATGACTACATCTTCTTAATCTGTCAGCAAAAGATGACTGCATCTTTCTGACACAAGAGTGTCCACTGAAAGAATTCTCACAATTTTTATACTGTACAACAGCAATATATTTTTTATGTCTTGAATACTAAATTATTTTATGGTATAATTTATTGTGAAATTAGAGTAAAAGTTTACCTCTCAATTAGTATTTATATATGCATTGTTAGTAAGGTAGAAAAATGCATTTAGTGATTATACATAATTGTTTACATACTCTCTGAAATAAACAATGGAGACATTTGTAAATCCTACCGGTGATGGTACAGAAACATCATTGATTTCCTCAATGTGGCGCTTTGTGGTGTTATTTCATTCGATTTAATGATAGCGCTAGAAGGCGCGCGCGGCATGTAATTTTGGCGGGAGATTGAACCGGTATGGATTTGTCTAGTTTATTTAGACATTCTCGAGCGCGAGCATAGAAGATTGATATGTCTTTCCATTCGAACGGACGTGGCTCTAGGTCGTTTTCTGTTGATGTTGTTTGATGGCTGTTTGCCTTCGCGGTCTCTGAAATCAGCGATATTAACCTTTAGTACTTCGCTGGAGAACAATCAGAATGTCGCGCTTCCTTCGTGCTTTCCACCAGATTTCGGATATCCAAAAAGCAAGTCATTGTACGCATACCAATTCTTGCTATAGTCTAAGCAATGCAATATACTCGATAGTACATTTCGCAAGTTGAATTGACTAGTCGCGCTCAAGCGGCTCAACAACTTCGCGGTTTTAGTCAAAAATTGGCGCGCGTTTGCCTTTATAACTCCTAAATGCGGCGTTGACAATCGTGTTTAGCTATTAAGAATTAATAAATTATTAGCCAGATCGAGTATCAAATTACACTTGCGCGAAATAAAGAAGCAAGTTAATTCAATTTCTACATGTCAACCCTCAAACACCTACCAAACAGATGCCATGGGAACGAACACTTTTTGCCTTAATTTTTTCACACATTGTGCGGGTCCTCATGTTCCACTAATTCAAGTACGCTCAATTCTTTTATCTGTTATATGGAACATAAACTGCATTCTTTTGTGGGGGAAGGAATATATATAATACATATATAATTATATACAAACGATGAAACGAACACAAGGACTGACAAGGTTAGTTTGTAAACAGTTAAATTTGTTGATTTGGTCTCATTCATAAACCTACAAAGTGGAGCTTTGCGCGTTGCTATCTACCGTTTAATATACATTGCTATTGAAATTGAATAATGTTTGGTTGGAAATGAAATTTTTTGGATCCAAATTTGAATTTCCAAATTTTCATATGAATTGCATACTGCATGATATAAATATGCAAGAGCAACTTCATTAAATACACAATATATTTTGTCTTTTCTATATTCAGTTCATCGTATTTACAGCTACTTAATATATCAGTATAAATCTATGCGAACAACAATTTGCTCCATTTAATACATACATATTAAGCTTATTTTGCAATATATATTTGTCATAGTTCATGGTAACTGCTTTTCATTATTAAATCAGATTACCCCTGAGCAATGCACTACACTTAAATTGTTGTCCCAAATATAACATAATTTTGCTTGTAAGTAAAATTGTATAGAAAATGAAAATATTTTAGTGCATTTTGTACCTTAATTAACTCAGATTATAATTAAACAGTTACCATTCTCACCCAAAGTTTTAATGACTGGAGGCTGATTAAAAATATGCAATAATAATCTGTAAGTAACTAACAGTTGAAATGAATTAAAATCTTGGCTCTTTGAGAACAACTTTGTGTTGGGATTGAATTTTGAAATATATCCTATTGTTGTTTACATACTGTAGAGTAGATTTATATTAAGTAGCAGCAAATACAATATACTGGTAATATTCCAAAATGTAAAAACATATCTCAATTCTTTTATCAGTTATATGGAACATAAACTGAATTATTTTGTGGAGGAAGGATTGAAGGAATTAATACATATATAATTATGCAAACAACAATTAATTTTGCTGCACTTAATACATTATTTTGCACTATATAGTCATAGTTCATAGTAATAGCTTTTCATATTGAATCATGCTAGCCTGGAAAACCACAGCTAGGTTTTCCCTACACAATTTCTAAAGCATTTTATTTGAATAAATTATTTGTAAAAGTAAATGCTGGTTGGAAATTATACTTTTCTAAACAAGACCTAGAGTATATTCCAAAATTCCATCCCAACACAAAGTTGTTCTCAAAAAGCCAAGATTTTAATTGATTGCAACTGTTAGTTACTTACAGATTATTATTGTATATTTTTAATCAGCCTCCAGTCATTAAAACCTTGGGTGAGAATGGTAACTGTTTAATTGTAATCTGAGTTAATTAAGGTATAAAATGCACAAAAAATTTTCATTTTCTATACAATTTTACTTAGAAGCAAAATTATATTATATTTAGGACAACAAAAGTGTAGTGCATTGTTCAGGGGTAATCTGATTCAATAATGATAAGCTGTTACCATGAACGATGACAAATAAGCTTAACATGTATATGTATTAAATGGAGCAAAATTGTTGTTCGCATAGATTATACTGATATATTAGGTAGTTGTAAATACAATGAACTGAATATAGAAAAGATAAAATATATTGTGTATTTAATGAAGTTGCTCTTGCTTATTTTATATCATGCAGTAGGCAATTCATATGAAAATTTGGAAATTCAAATTTGGATCCAAAAAGTTTTCATTTCCAACCAAACATTATTCAATTTCAATAGCAATGTAGATATTAAACGGTAGATAGCAACGCGCAAAGCTCCACTTTGTAGGTTTATGAATAAGACCAAATCAACAAATTTAACTGTTTACTACGGTGGCCCACAAGTGTCACCACATTTGCAATTTGTTCGATACATTAACATATCGCTCACAGCAACAATAAATTGCTTACAGCATTAACAAACGCTCAACAGCATCACTAAATTGTATCACAGCATTAACAAATGACTCACAGCAACAACAAATTGCTCACAGCATTAACAAATGACTCGCAGCAACAACAAGTTGCTCACAGCATTAACAAATGACTCACAGCAACAACAAATTGCTCACAGCATTAACAAATATCCACAGCAACAACAAATTGCATCGCAGATTATTGAACCACTATATGCTTTGCAAAACGAAGTATTGAACATTCTTGTGGACTTGTGGTACGAAAGAATCTCTTCTTGCTGCTTTAGTGCTTTATTATAAATTTTGAGAAAAAAACGAAATGTTTTGTTCAAACTGCGGCCATGGTAGAGAAGCAGAAGCACCATCAAATTTTTGTGCAAACTGTGGAGCAGGTACGTACACATCTATACTTAGTAACATCCTATGGTATAAACATCTATTAAATATGTTAAGTTGTTAAATGTTAACTGTCCAGTCCGGCGTCCTAGATGTTGTTCTGCATTTCTAGATAATCAATTTATAAGTTATAACCTGAATGTGAATATAATTATATCATGAAATTTCAAAAGTTTTAACAAATCATCCTGTTTTAAGATTTGCACAGCGATGAAAGCTCAGGATCAGATTTAGAACATTCCGAAGCTGTTTTTGATGAAGAAAGTCTTATTAAGTACTATTACCACCGTGGATTCGCATATAAAGAGATACTAAAATTTCTAGAAAAACACCATAACCATTGCATAAGTTATTGTACACTTCTGAGAAGGCTTCAACACTATGGACTTAGGAGAAAACAGCAAGTGACTGACAACACTATAAATTTAGTCAGAGAAAGGATTTCAACTATCATTGATGGTCCAGGTTCATCAGAAGGATATAGATCTTTGTGGCACAGACTGGAACTTGAAGGATTAAGAGTACCAAGGGCAGTTGTTGCAGCTATTCTTAAAGAATTGGACCCACAAGGCAGAACTGCGAAAATCTCACCGCCTAAAAAGGAGGTGTATAGAAACCCAGGCCCAAACTATGCATGGCACATCGATGGCTATGACAAACTAAAAGTATGGGGATTCCCCATCCATGGATGCATAGATGGATACAGTAGACGAATATTATGGCTATCAGTCCTTCGATCAAACAACCTACCGGATGGTCCGGCATCACTATACCTAACTACAGTAAGTTCCTTGGGTGGATGCCCAGTGGAGTTAATCAGTGACCTGGGGACAGAAAATGGTATGGCAGGAGCAATGCAAAGCTTTTTTCGAGATAACATTGATGCACATCGCTATGTTACATCACAAAGGAACCAACGCATTGAATGTTGGTGGTCGTTCTTGTCTAAACAACATGCAATGGTGGAGAAGCTTTTTTGCAGATCTAGAATCTCAAGGTATATTAAATTCGTCTAGTGAAATAAGTATGGAATGTCTTTGGTACTGTTTCTCACCTGCCATTCAAATTGAATTAGATACTGTCGTAGAAAACCTGGAATTCTCATTATATTAGAAAATCTCGACATGACACTGTAAATTGGACGGCCGGACTCTCTCTTTTTTCTTCCTGAGCATCATGGCACAGTTGATAGACTTGTGCCGGTGTCTGAGGAAAAGATCCAATATGCTTCCACGCATGTGATTGAGGAGGTTCAAACACATGAACTTCAAGACTATTTTGAGTATGTCAGGTTGAGCCTGGGTTGCCGTGTACCTGATTCATGGCAAACAGCTTTGGACTTATATAATTCCTTACTTGAAATTGCTGAACATGGAACAGAATAAAATTTTGCTATGGTTTTTTAAAAAACTGTATATGCTAAATGTACCATGCACATTTATAAATATAAGTTGTTGATAATTGCCTTTTTAGATTAGTTTTACTTTTAAGGTAATTTAATTAAAGCCAGTGCTTAATCAAAAGTGCAAATGGCATGCAACTGGATGTTTACTTGACTATTAGAGTAAATTTCACACGTCATGACCCCAAATAAGTAATTTTAACCTTTTTTTTTACCAAGATTTGTAATTTTCCAGGAACAACTTCCTTGAATATGCACAAATTACTTGTTAAGGTGGCTCCCTACAATTTTTAAAAATATTGAAAACTTGTGGTTTTGATGTAAAATTTTAGCACGAGATTTCTTGCTAAGGAAAAGAAATTTCCCAGATATATTAACCAACATTCTAACAGTCAGAAATTGCCCATAAGCATGACGTCATTACCGTTGTTATGGTAACAATGGCGATTCAATATGGCCGACATATTGGCCGTCATTTTACCTATTCACGCATTTTACCCCTATTACCCCTATTTTTTATTTCATGAAACGTTTTCTTACAAAAAAATTAGGAAATTTGAGGAAGTTTAACAAAATTCTATAGAGCCAGAAAATTTCTATAACGAAAAATCACGTTTTTTAATTTTTAATAATTTTGGCTCTATGAATTTTTTTAACTCGTTCAAATTTTTCATTTTTTTGTAAGAAAACTTTTTTAAAATAAAAAATTGGGGTAACAGAACTTGTTTTTGAGTAAAATGCGTGAATAGGTAAAATGGCGGCCATATTGGATCGCCATTGTTACCATAACCACGGTAATGACGTGATACTCGAAGACAATCTTCGCTGTTTTATCTGGAAAATTTTATTTCGTTTAGCAAGAAATTTCTTGCCAAAAATTTCAATCTAAAACATTAGTTTTCAATATTCTTAAAACTGTAGGGAGCCACCTTAATATATACAGTGCAATCAAAACATAAACAATTCAACCTCAGTTTTACAGTTAAACTGGAACTTGTAAACATTTTACAATGTAGGGCCGGTTATATAAAAGCTGGATAACGTTACCTACTATATAGTATTTTTTTAATGCTTAAAAATTGCCTGTCGTTCTATAGGCAGCCCAGATATCTGTTTATACTCAGTCTTCGACTGCATTGTTTACGCGCGCAGTCAGCTTCTACTGTCTGTACTGATTACTGTATTATATATCAATATATAATACAGTAGTTAGTACAGGCTTCTTCTGTCTACTGATTACTGTATTATATATCAATATATAAGTACAGACAGTAGTTAGTACAGACAAGCTGACCGCGCGCGTAAACAATGCAGTCGAAGACTGAGTATAAACAGATTTCTGGGCTGCCTATGGTCGTTCAGCGTAATGGCTTAAACCTTAGCATTCTTAAATTGCAGGTACTCTTTAGCAGTTGTTAGCTCCAAATTTGTGGCTTTAGCGCTTTCAAGCATATTTAGAACACTAAAAAATCCTATGTGGTGAATAGTGCTATCCAGTTTTTGTATAACTGTGATACAACTGGCCCAAAGATGCATGTTAACCCAACAACAATAACAACAGCCCCATTATTATACGGAAAAATCTAATGCATGTTCATGGCTTACCGAATGCCTGACCTTTTGAGTAAGCTATTAATAAATTTTTATGAAATTCTGCTGCATCCACCATATGGGCAATGGGAAATGTAATCTGCATTCCGCAGGCCCCAATTAATGGATAGCAGATAGTATGCTTTGGGTCCCTTGATTGACAGTCATGATCAAACAAAACGCTAATCACCAACTTCTTGCCACTTAAAGGCTTGTGCTTTTGGCCAGTGAGCCATTTCATAACCCCAGGCACATTCACCTCTGCTGTTTCAAATCTTTCTTCAGGTAAAACATCAGAAATTACCTGCTCTTCATCTTTATCTTGGTAATTCCATGCAACAGGTGCTGAATACCCAGTAACCTCTGTATCTTCAATGCTCATAAGAAAATCCTGGAAATTATCAACAACCTTTTCCTCTTGTACTCTTCTGCTGGTGCCTTCTTCCGAATATACTGGCTCCATGCAGGAAAAAAGATAATTTGCGTCAATGTCATCTTGGGTAGATCCTTGAACAAATAAGGACTTGACTTTGTCTGGAGCTTTCCTGAGAATTTTATCAAATCCATATAATGATAAGCCTTGCAAAAACTCATTTAGGTACAAGATTCTCTTGTTAATAAGGTTAATAACAATAGACTTAACTATTTCATCAACATGTGCATCATTGATTAAACCGGTGTAACCATTGTCCATTATTGTGGTCTCGTTTCCCTTCACATCACTTATAATGCCTTCTATCAGTACCTTCTCACTCTTTGCAAGGTGTTTGTCAGTGCTAAGTTTCATCATATCAATATCTGGATTGACAAGTGTTTCATAAACACATTCGTCAAAAAGAGATGGACTAGGACCACCCTGTGCCAGACTTACAGCAGCTATCTGGCCACATGTACGGAAATTTCCATTCTGGATATGGTATGTGGAGTCGAAAGGGCATCCATTAGGAAACATAATAGAGCGCATATTATCAATGGCGTCAGTAAGAAACTCCCTAGCAAGTGCCCCTGTATCAATACCATCTTCGCCAATATATTTGACTGTGAGTTTCCGCATAGGGGATGATTTCTTTGCCTCACGTTGCCATAAGAGAAGCGCTCTATGGAAAGGTACTTTTCTTCTTATGACAAGGAAGAATTGGTTCTCGTTATCAGTATGCTTTTCTAGATGTTGTATGACTGATGCTTCGTTAGTAAATTCTTCTTTCGTTTCATCACATTTATCTATTTCATGAACTACATGTATGGTATGGTCTATCCCATCTTCTTTGCAATCCTCTACATGGACTATAGGTATGCTACTTGCCTCATTGTTCTTGTCATCTTCCAATTCATCTTCAAACCTTTGCTGGAGCTGAATTGCTAATCTCTCATCGTTCTCTATTTGCAGCTCATTGTTCTCTTTGTCATTTTGTTCCGTATTACTATCAAGTTTTGGGAATTTTGCATTTGGCTGGAAATCAGGAGATTCAGACTTAGCACTTAAAACACCAGGCATATCACAATTGAAAATAGCATTGTCTTCGTCACTGTCATTCAAGCCTTTAGAAATGTTGTAATCCAAAGATGTGCACAGGAATAAAGTAATCCTATTATAATCTTTACCTAATTCTTGTTGATATCTTTCTAGGGAAAAGAATTCTTTTGCAGAACCAGGCAAAAAAATGGCTTCTTCTCCATTCTCATATAGCATGACATACTCATCACTTTCAGAGTACAAGTGGGAATAAAAAGCTTTCCACTTTAATATAGCTTTACTACAGACTGTTTTATAGTTTGCCTTGTTGGATACTCGCAGCACCAACTTCTTACCCCTTTTTGGTTTGAGAACATTGTCCTTGCTATTCCATTCTAATAGACCAATGTTAATGCACACATCTCGCTCTTTTGATTTAGTGTTAGGTTTGTCTTCATCAGGATTTTTTGTTGAGACAGATTTTTTCCACTGTTTCCCTTTTGCCTTTCTATAGTCAGCAAATGACTTTATATTTCTACCAGTGGGGTGTAGACCTTTAGGTACACCTTGCGTACTATAATCTAAAGTTGTCTTTCCAACACTAGTACTTGGTCCTTCCTCAGAATTTCCACAAAGCTCTACCAATGAAATGATTATGGTATCAAAGTTTCATTCAGGTTCATTTTTGAATGGTTTCATAAGATTAGAGATGGAGGGAGAACAAAGTTAAAATGGGGAAAAGCATTTCTCAAAACCAAAAAATATAAAATATATTTAATACTGTATACATCCTTCAAAACCTAGATGCTTTAATATTTGTTTCCAAGGCCTATATTATACGTTGCATTCTGGTCCATAAACATCATTAAGCTTCATTACCATCTCATCTATTTGTTTGAATTGCATAAATTTCGACGCGACCAACATGTGACGTTTAACTTGGTGATTTGAATGCACAGTAGCTATAATATATACAATAATCATTAAAATTCTAAGAATGCACCTACCTGTTCCACAATTCGAACAAAAATTCGATTTTACTTTTGCCTCTCTACCACATTTTGAACAAAACATTTTCAAACCAGTCCTTAATAAGTCTTTATTTCGAAATATTTGGCACAGGCGGCCCGCCGACCACGCGAGAAGGTACGGTAAACTTCATTTTACAAAAATAAAGTGGATTAACTACCTGTAGCACAATTTGTTAATGCTGTGAGCAATTTGTTGTTGCTGTGAGTCATTTGTTAATGCTGTGAGCAATTTGTTGTTGCTGTGAGTCATTTGTTAATGCTGTGATACAATTTAGTGATGCTGTTGAGCGTTTGTTAATGCTGTAAGCAATTTATTGTTGCTGTGAGCGATATGTTAATGTATCGAACAAATTGCAAATGTGGTGACACTTGTGGGCCACCGTAGTTTACAAACTAACCTTGTCAGTGCTTGTGATCGTTTCATCGTTTGTATAATTATATATGTATTATATATTCCTTCCCCCACAAAAGAATGCAGTTTATGTTCCATATAACACATAAAAGAATTAAGCGTACTTGAATTAGTGGAAATGCTAAGTTTGGCTGCGAAATTTGGTAGAATACGGAAAATATAGCCATGTCAAATTAGCATTTTGTATTACGCGCGGAAATTGTAACTAATTTAGTTACAAACTTTTCCCATTCCAGGTTTTACAGATTCCGGCTTTTCCCATTCCTGGTTTTACAGATTCCGGCTTTTCCCATTCCTGGTTTTACAGATTCCGGCTTTTCTCATTCCTTGTTTTACAGATTCCGGCTTTTCCCATTCCTGGTTTTACAGATTCCGGCTTTTCCCATTCCTGGTTTTACAGATTCCGCTTTTCTCATTCCTGGTTTTACAGATTCCGGCTTTTCCCATTCCTGGTTTTACAGATTCCGGCTTTTCCCATTCCTGGTTTTACAGATTCCGGCTTTTCTCATTCCTTGTTTTACAGATTCCGGCTTTTCCCATTCCTGGTTTTACAGATTCCGGCTTTTCCATTCCTGGTTTTACAGATTCCGGCTTTTCTCATTCCTGGTTTTACAGATTCCGGCTTTTCCCATTCCTGGTTTTACAGATTCCGGCTTTTCTCATTCCTTGTTTTACAGATTCCGGCTTTTCCCATTCCTGGTTTTACAGATTCCGGCTTTTCCCATTCCTGGTTTTACAGATTCCGGCTTTTCTCATTCCTGGTTTTACAGATTCCGGCTTTTCCCATTCCTGGTTTTACAGATTCCGGCTTTTCCCATTCCTGGTTTTACAGATTCCGGCTTTTCTCATTCCTTGTTTTACAGATTCCGGCTTTTCCATTCCTGGTTTTACAGATTCCGGCTTTTCCCATTCCTGGTTTTACAGATTCCGGCTTTTCTCATTCCTTGTTTTACAGATTCCGGCTTTTCTCATTCCTGGTTTTACAGATTCCGGCTTTTCTCATTCCTTGTTTTACAGATTCCTGCTTTTCTCATTCCTGGTTTTACAGATTCCGGCTTTTCCCATTCCTGGTTTTACAGATTCCGGCTTTTCCCATTCCTGGTTTTACCGTTCCCCGTTCCTTTCCTCATTCCTTTCCCCGATTCCCCGTTCCTTGTTTTACAGATAGCCATACACTAATAACTAATATACTAGGAGTTACTATCGCAAGGAAAATGCTGCCTTAAAGACGTATAAACTTGATGCAAAATTGTATGGTAAATGAGTACTCATACAATTTTACGTTTAATTAAAGTCTTGATGTGCGTCATTGGTAAAGGTAGTGACGTACAGTCATGCTATCCATGAGTGACGATACGAAGCCAGTGCATGTCTATATAGCTAGTGGTCTATAAACCAATACGCGTGGTCTTCTAGTTTTCACGACAATTTATTACATAAGAAAATTCTTAATTAGAATATATCAAACATGATTGGAATAAGAAATTTTTCTATAGGAAGTTTGTCCTTCGAGACCTCCCGTTTTTCGAAGTATAATTTTATATAAATAGACCAAGAAAAATAACATTACCCATCACACATTACATTACATTACATTATATTACGTTATATTAGTTTACATTACACATCACACACGTCACATTACATATCAGATTTATTACATTATATCACATTACATTAATTAACATTATACATAACACACGTCACATCATAACAAAAAAGAGGATAACACTGTATGTGTTTATTTTGTCTGAGGTTTAAACTACGAATGCTTGAAAACAGTTCTCTTTAAGTTCTTCTTATCATATTTAGTATATACCATTAGTTCATATGGATTACTTGATGAACTGTTCGTTAATCCCATAGGTTAACCTCTTCTGGAAAGTGGTAATTATCGTATTGCACCCTAAAATCTCTTCAATATAAAATTGATTTATTGCTTGAGAATTAGTTTTTTTCTTTCTTTGATCAATGTTTTTGTAGTAGAACACTGTCAATAACAAATTAATTAACGTTATTTGGAAATACCAGGTCCACGACTCTACATGAATTTGGTTAGGTTGTTCAATGATAGCACAGGAGTGACAGATAATAGTATAGTGTACACACGTCTTTTCTTGCATTAATCTATAACTCCTTTTCCACGTAAAATAATGTTTCTTCACTTTCCTGCAAGAATCTTCTTCGAAAGATGAGTGCACATCATACTGTAGTTGTATCGCGCATTCATAGTGTTTTCGTTATTGACTGTCATCCAATTGTTTGAACAGGTTAAATTCCAATGTTTTTGGCAAACAGTGCGAACTAACGCGGTTGTATTTGCTAATCCACTTGCTCTTTCATATTTTTATCCAGAAGTAGGTATCTACAAGACAAAAGAACATTTTTAGAATACACTACAATAGCCCTAGCCCAATGAAATGTCGTAAAGCGGGAGTGAAGTATAGAAACAAAATAAAAAACTTACCGTATATCGTCTTGATGATGATATTTTCACACATACAGTGACATAATTATAAAATTGATTAAATGACATGCAAAGTTACAGAATAAGGTTAACACACAGAATAAAGCGTAATGGGATCCATAACAGAATCCCATGTCTGATTTCAAACTTTATGGTTTGCCAATTTAAAATGCACCGTTATTGGTAGTCTGTGCTAAACGATCTAGGCGGTTTTCTTCCTCAAGCCTGAATTGTAAATTAGCTGATGATTTCAAGCTTGTTAATCGTTCATATGTCATGGGTTCAATGACGCAAGATGAAAGCGATCTCACTCTGCTAATGGCAACGTATGAAACTCCAGCAGTTCTTTCTGATTTGCCAATATCTATCCAAGCTTTTGGAAGAGTAAGTCCTTGGCTCTTGTGTATTGTTAGAGCCCAGGCGAGTCTTAGAGGCAACTGTTGCCGCTCATGAAAACTTGTTTCTGACTGTGATGAGACTGTGATTGGACACACTGGAACACAAGATGGTTTGTTCACATTAAAAACAGGACCTCTGTAGTTCTCAAACTCAATAATGACTGCAATAGGCAAGTCAGGTGGTTGGTGGTTGTTCTGATAGACAATATCAACAACTGTTCCAGTAGCTCCATTACAGAGGCCAACACTTGACCACAAATTCATGGTTAACATAACCCTAGCACCTTTTGCTAGAAATGTAACAGGTTCCAACCCAGACATATCATCTGATGAACATCTTTTTGGCCAATGGAGAGGAATGGCGAGTATGAGCAATTGGATCCTCAAGTTTTGTTAGTTGTTCATTATTGTAATTTGCAACTTGTTCATTGCTATAGAAGAGTCTAGTAGCGTCTTCAAAGTCGCATACGTTAGTGACATTCGATGGTTGACGAGTTAGAAGTAATTTCCAGTCGTCGACTGTTGACTCACCTTTGCGAAGTCGTAACAATAAATCTCTGAACTGTATTTGTTCAGATGTCATACCTTGCACACGTTGATTAATAGTGAGCTTAACAACTTTGTCAAACATAGAGTATGCTTGATAACCTTGTTCGCCAACAGAATTTGATGGTTTAGCATGATAAAGAGGCTTGTCTGCCACTGGTGGCAATTGACCTGGATCTCCAGTTAAAATCAATGATTTTCCACCAAATACTTTGTCATTATAACCAGTTGCTTGTTTGCAACGCTTATCTAACCAACCAAAAGTAACTTGGCCAAGCATTGAGTATTCATCAATAATGATATATTCAATATTATTAACACTCTCTTGTAATCTACACAGGCTTTGTCCTGTTAGATCTTTATTACCTCTTGACCCTATAGGCAACTTTAACAGAGAGTGCACAGTTACACCTTTAATGTTATAGGCTGCTTTACCGGTGGTAGCAGTAATAGCACATTTACTTTGCAAAAGATTTCTAAGAGCATTAATAAGGTAACTCTTACCCGTCCCTGCAACACCATTGATAATTAGACATAATGGCTCTTTTTCAGATGATGTATCGTCAAAATGAGACTTGACAATGTCAAAAGCAAGTTTTTGCATTTCACTAAAACTGTTTACGTCAACAACATCATATTGCTCATTAATAGTGTATTCCTCTTTGTTTGTTTTTATCCATGTTGGCATTTCATTGATTTGTTGTTCTGAATAATTGCTTCTATCAAGATGCCAGTCATATGTTGATTCTGGTGCTTGTTCAGGGTTATCAAAAGGAGTGTGAAGGTCTGATAATATCATCCACTCTTCTCGAGTTACGTCCTGTTCTTCAGAAGGTCCATCTTCTGGTTCTTGACTTTGGATAACAGCTTGTAATTTGTCAAACCAGTCTGGAACATTAGATTGTCCATAGGGTGTTTGCAAGAATTCATGCCAAGAATTGATTAGAACCTCGTCAGTTGGTTCTTGGTCACCCCACGCATTGTTTTGCGTTGTTCTCCAGGGTTTATATCTCAAAAGTTGATACTTACAATATAGTCCAAATTTAGGACCTTTGGGATTAGGAGAATAAGTTGGGAATATTCTAGGTATAACATTCTCTGGTAATCTCGTCAGTTCATTGTTAACAACTTTATAAGTTGTAGCAAATTGAAGAAAATTCATATTCATAATATTTTGTGAACTGTCATATTGCTCACGATTAGCGTACACATCAAGAAGTGAGTAATCAGTGCATGAATCACGTTCTTCAA